GCCCCTCCCCTCCCCCGTGAGCTGCGCACCGCCGGCCGGCTGACCCAGCGGCCCGCGTCCGCGCCCTTGTCAGCCCGACCCCGCGGCGGGCTCCAGGCGGCCGGCAGCATGAGCGGCGGCGGCGACGTGGTGTGCACCGGCTGGCTGAGGAAATCGCCTCCCGAGAAGAAGTTGAGGCGCTATGTGAGTGCGGGCGACGAGCGGGTGCGGCCGCCGAGGGCGCGGGTGGAGGGCGCCCCGCGGCCTGCCCAGGGGCTGGGGGCTCCGGGAGGGGCGTCGCCGACGGAGAGGGCGGGCCCTGGGGGCCCCGGGGGGCGAGGAGCGGCCCGCGCGCCCCGCGACTCGGGGCTGTGTGGGGCACCTGCACACCTGTCACAGGTGCGCGGCCGAGGGGCGGAGCGGGCGGGCGGGCGGGCGGGCAGGTTGAGGCTGCGGCTCCTTCTTCGCCGGGCGGGCGCGGCGGCAGCGCCTCCCCAGCCAGCTTCCCTGTAAACTAAATACGGTATCGAAGTTTGTATTGATTGTTTTGGAGACCGAGAGAGTTGATTCCCGGGGCTGGGGGACCATAGTAACCCCGAGCGGCTTCAGCCTGCAGGGCTGCGGGAGTGGGCGGGAAAGGGGGGCGCAGGCTGCGGGGCGGCTCGGTCCGGCCCCCACAAAGGGCGAGGCCCCTCACACCCTTTCCCCCTTCCCTTTCTCTGCCCGCCCCTCCCGGTGACCGCCTGCTTCCTTCCAGTCCACAGCCTCTGCATCACGGGCAGCGTCAGCGGCATGTGCAGCTCTTGTATTAAGTGACTCATTTGTTTGTCCCCCTTCATTCCGTATGTCTCTCACAGACATCCCCCCACCCCATCCCACGATGGTGACATTGCAGTTTGGTCTGGTATAACTGGCCGGGATTTTGTGTCGTCCTTGGTGTCTGGGGTCGGGAGAAATCAAGGTTCTCAGTTGCCAGGTGGTGCTGACCGACGGTGTTTACCGAAATCGCTGGGACAGCTTCTCCCTTCCAAGTGAGAAACTGGCAACATCGAGCGAGGGGAAGGTGGGATACAGTCTGGTGCCGCCTGGTGAAGAGGTCTGGCTAACCGCCCCTCTCGTCCCCCCCCCCCCCCCCATCCAGTGCCTTGCCTGGTGGGGTCAAAGTACACGATGGTAGTAATTACAATCAACTCTGGGCCGTTTGCAGGCGTTTGGAAATGGAAGTAAGGTCGGTATAAGGTGTCAAGGTCTCTCTTCTGTTCCGTTTTCACTTCCTTTGAAATGCCCTTGTTAAACTGACTCCTGGTGCTGGCCTCTCTGGGATCATTCCCACAGCACGAAAGTGAGCTGTTGCCTTCCAGCTGCAGTGCATCAAGGGAACTCTGAACAGACCCTGCCCTCTGTCAGCTGCACCAGTGGCTGTCCATGGGGGGAGAGGCAGAAGCTTAGCAGAGTTTCCTGTCTTGGCTCCCCAGATCAGAACTGAGGGACTTCTGGCCTCTGGATTGAGGAAGTGACATTCTGTTTTTCAAAGGAAATGTTGTTGGGGAGTGCAAGTGTGTGTGTGTGTGTGTGTGTGTGTGTGTGTGTGTATGTAAATGAGAGCAGGCTCTTATTTAAATCACTTGCTGGGAAGACTCTAACAGTGACTTTCCAAAGTGGACCTAGATTTAAAATACAGTAAAGATGAGGCAATGGAGGGTTCATCTTCGTTCTTACGTTCGTTTTTCAGGGATGTCCAAGGAGCCAAAGCATTATAACTGCCAGGAAAGAAACGTTCCCCCTTTTCAGAGTTGTATCAGCTCATTAGGAAAGGTGAATTTTTATATTAGGTTAAGGATGAGTAATTTGCTATGGATGTTTTTATAATTATAAAAAACAAAACAAAAAGTTTTTGGCCCCAAAGAGCTTAAGAAAGCTATCAGTCGAAGTGTAATAACATACCAGCTAGTGGAATAGAGTATCCAGTGACAAATGTGACTCTTAATTTTCGAATTAGAGCACACTACCCTAAAGATCCTTGAAACTTTGCTTTTGATACAGTTTGCAAACAGTTTGACGCCATATGTCTATTTGATGACTACTTCAACTCTGTCACCCAGACTTTCTTTACGACCCATTTCTTTGGTATTTTTGTTCCCAAGCAACTTTAGCTCAAAAACAAATTTGGAGGCTTTGGGGTCAAGCAACTTTTTCACCCATTTGAAGTACTTGACATCCTACAGTCCTATGATGACCTCACCCGCTTTCCCACTTCCTTGCAGCTCCAGCCCATGGACATCTGATCAAACTACTAACAACTTCTCTTGGGCTTGGGTGTAATGTGTTCCGTTGATATGACTGGAACTGAGTGCGAGCTCAGTTCTCTTAGTTGAAACTGGGCTGAGTTGTCTGACCCCAAGCTCTTGGGGTTAGAGTCTGCCTTTACATCTTTTCTTTTTGGGCATTGAGAATTTCTGCACCTTGCTTTAAGTTAAAACTTTGCCAGTTCCCTGTGTTCATTAGAGACCCAAATTCATTAGAATCAAACTAGGAAACAAGTTATTTCCCAGCCTCGTTACTAAACACACACCCTAAAATAGCTGCTTATTCTGGTGTATACAATAGCCATGTGGTATCATGGATTAAGTCTCCATTTTAAGAATATATCACATATCTGAGATCAAGGGAAAAGAAGTTCATGAAATAGATTGCAACTATTTACAATGAATTTTAAAAAACCTCTCTCTAATTTGAAGAGGTGGTAGGTTGAGGGAGGAAAAAACAACTTGAAGCCATAGCAAATGTTAGCAGGGATTAGGTTTAGGGATGTTTTCGTCAGCCTTTTCTAATTTATTAAGCATAAGAAGATGTAAAGATCTATTCAGTATTGCTGTGCACTTTGGGGGAATTACAAAAAGTGACCTCTGGAAAATGGGGAGTATTGCCTCTGGACCATCATCATATGGTTGCAGTGGGAGGCTAGCGGGAGGAACAGCCCTCCCATCATGCTGTAGTGTGCATGTGTATGAGTGTGTGTGCATATACATGCACACACATATATAAGGCAGAAGCCAGATTTTCTTGAGGAAAAACATTTTATGACCTACACTGCTCTGTAATTTTCTATTGATTTCACTGGGGTAAAAGAGAGAAACTATGGACAGCCGCACTGCCCTCTAGTGGCTAATTTGGAGAAAATTGTGTAGTGATTCTAACGAACAACTGCTTTGAGGAAACTAATTGTTTATTTTATTAAGTCACCTTGCTTATTAAATATCTGTATCTCTGGATTTGATGCTCGGAATAAAAATTAAGCCATCCTGTCAGTCTTAGCAGATGACCTTGCCTTCTCCACCAAGAACACTGAAGCTATCAGAGGGTAGCTGTCTGCACATACTGCAACCAGATTTCCAAATTTACCTGCATCTGCATGATTCCTTTCCTTTTCCCTACTTCTTAGAGTAGATGAGGTGCCCCTTCTAACTGAGCAATCCTGCTACCTGTGCTTTGGATCATATCCCATCCTATCTGTTCAAGTCATTATTACCCTTTCTGTTATGGATATTCTGTGTCTTTCCCTCTCTACCTATTTCTATCCATTAACATGTAAACACACTTCCTTTTAACAAAATCCTCCCTCAGTATCCCATCCTTTCCTTCTCACTGTGCTTTCTGCTTTTCTTTAGAGCTAAGCTTCTTCATGGTTGTTTATACTGTTTCCATTTCTCCTCCCTTCTTGTCAGTTGGTTCCAGTCTGAAACCTACTTTGTCATTTCACAAAAGCTGTTCTCTGAAAGGTGCCAGTGATACCCAGGTCACAGAATTCAGAGATCTGTTTTTTCACTTCTCATTTTAATTTCTTCACTGCTTAGTCGCAGTAGACCACTCCCTCTTTCTTGAAGCACCTTATTCTTAAGTGATATGATAAATGCCTGACTTTTCTCCCTTGTGGTTTTTTTTTTTTTTTTTTTGGTTTTTTTTTGTTTGTTTGTTTTTTGGCTACTATATGTCTCTTTTGCTAAATTGACCCTTGTTACCCAATCCTTAAAGTTTGAAGCTCATTTATGGTCACAGTGGCTATGGTCTAGGCTCTTTTCTCCTTCTCAGTATTTTGTCCATTCTCCTGGCTTCAGTTAGCATTGCATGCTGGTTGTTATCAAGTTAAATTTCCATCCCAGAGTTGTGTTCTCAACTCCAGACCTGCATATACGGTTGTTAACTGGACATCTCTACTCGAATGTCTCCCAGTCATCACAAACTCACCACACCCAAAACTAAACTCTCATTCTTCATCCCATATCTGCTCAATAAATGGTGCCACTGACCACCCACTTGCTCAAATGTGAAACCGGAATCAGCCTTGACTTCCTGTCACCCACTATTCCACATCTAATCGTTCACCAACCAAATCCACTAGTGCTGTCATCTTAATATAGTTTTCTCTACACTTCTCCCTCCCCACTGCCATGACTCTTAATATTGTCATTTTAATGGCTGTCTGTTGATGGCTTACTTTGTGGCAAGCACTGTGCTTAGACCATTGATCTTTTAATTTAATCATTTTAGCCCTATGAGGAAGGAATGTGACTTGTCCAACATCACCTGGCTTTGTCCCAAAGCCTAAGCTTTTGTTGTTGTTGTTGTTGTTAATTAAACTTTTACTCTGAGGTAATCATAGGTACACATCTATTTGTAAAGATAGTAAAAAGAGATATGTGTACTCTTTACTCACTTTCTCCTAATGGGAACATTTAGCAAAACTATAGTGCAATATCACCATCAGGATATTGATAATGATAGACTCAAGATACAGGGCATTTCCATCACCACGTGATCCCTCATGTTGCCCTTTTATAGTCCCATCCACTACCAAGGCATTCCCACCACATCCTTAGCCTGTGACAACCACTAATCTGTTCTCCATTTTTATGTTTTATTATTTCAAGAGTCTTATATAAATGAATTTGTAAGTTTGTAACTTCGAGGGATTGGCTTTTTTCACTCAGCATAATTCTCTGGAGATTCATCCAAGTGGCTGTATATATCACTAGTTCATTCTTTTTAATGCCCGATAGTATTCCATGGTATATGTACCATAATTCATTTCTCAAACTGTTCACTTACTAGTTTTAATTTACACTTTCTTATGGTAGATGATATTGAACATCTTTTCAGATGAATATTTATCATCTGTATGTCCTCTTTGGTCAAATGTCTTCCTT